TAATAATATTTTGGAAATGCGTGAACTCACAGCCCGAGAACAAGACCCTTCTGTGTTGCTGACATGTGTCCACGGCCCGTCACCGAGGGGGACACAGAGCGCCGGGGCCCGTTCGGCTCCCACGCCCCGCGGCCCGCGGTCGCCGTGGGTCCGGGGCCACCTCCCTTCTCTGTTACCATCTACAGTTGTTCATTGCTTAATTCGTTAAAAAGAAATACACATAAATCCCCCCAAAAAAGAAGATTGTTGACTCTTTCTAAGACCCCCCGTGCGATCACTTCCACGGACACCAGCTCCCTCTCCTACCCAAGCGCGGGGTTCCCTGTGCCGGTCCCTCTGATGTTTAACAGGGACATGCCTCATCCTCTTTGATCATATGCGCACTTTTTACCACAGTGAAAATCTTTAAAAAACAAACAAACCAGTTAAACCAAAAAGAACGCGGGGTGTTGCTCACAGTGGCCCCAGTGCCCTGGCACAGGTGCCGTCCCGGAGCTCTGCCCAGGGGAGAGGCGGGCGAACCCACCCTGGGGGATTCAAGGCACAAGGGACCCCAAAAAAGGGTCGTAATATCCTCTCCACGGGCCCGACTTCCGCCGTGGGCCAGTCAGGCGCTGAGATCTTTAGTAATTTGTGATCGTGTCTGTTTTACTGTCTCTTGAGAGACTGAACAGTATCAATAGGGCCACTGGGGAAATATGATCACTGCTTGTCGCTCATGACTGTCTGTCATTTTTAGCATAAACAAGCGGCATCCTTGTACCGTTTATTTTCACCCGTCTCCAGAGTTCGGAATATATATGAATAGCATTTCCCCCCAGACCACATGTTTTTGTAATTGGAAAACGCTTTACACCATCATCTCTGTTTCTTTGCTATCTGTTTATTGGTACAGTCACTGACTCAATTATCTTTGTAGAATACAAATGAATGTAAACAAAGTGCAAGCACAGGGCCCTGGACGTCCCAGGGTTGGCACAGGACCATTTTGGCCACAGGAAATGGACCCGTTTCTGTGCGGCCTCAGAGGTGCAGACACTGGTGTTCACTGCACAGGACTTACATGCCATCGGCTGGCACCAGCACAGGAAAGGCTCTTTTTCCATATCATCATCTATAGTTTTAATTGGTTAAATTCACTGATACAAAAATATACATACGGGAAGAAAAATATCCCAAGTAAAATCCTTAAAAACCCTTAATACCCATCTGTTCAATCACTTCTGCTGAGGCCAGACTCTTTCATTAACTGAACTGTTCCATGTGAATTCGTCACACATTGTTTCATATAAGTAATACTTAACATTGACATATTTGGGCTTCTTTGCTTATATTCAATACTTTTTAATAGTACAAAAAATTATTTTCAACACTCAATCCAAGGCAAGAACACTGAGCATTCCTCACCTTCTTTCCCATGTTCCTGACACACGGGTACAACCGGGAGCGCGGGGCCACGGAAGGTGCTGAAATCAGCTCAGATGCGTCCATTCTGAGGGTACAGAGCAGAACCGATGATAAAAGATTGAATGATCCATGAATGATCGTGGATCTGGAGTATATTTCTTTCCATTTCTCTTAAGGAATTGCCTTGGAACTTCTCTCCAGCCCAGAAAATGAACACGGCCTGGCACTTATTGATGACTATTCCATCGCGAGCCCAAGAGAGGTCGCGCTCGCGGACCACTTATTTCTCTTTGGACTTCACTGATTTCAAATGTATTAAGAATACTCCTTGCCTCACAATTATTTTTATAATTGGACAATACTCCAATCATCTTGATATATTTGTTTATTGATTATTCCATTTCTCCAATTATAATAATACAATAAAATGCATAAATAAACAGAGACCAAAACCACGATCCTCGCTTGGTGCTGATTTCTGTCTACGGCATCTCCCCAAACGAGGCGAAGGCCCGGCTGCTCTGCGCTGGACCTCAGAGTTTCAGACACATGATAATCTATCATCCTCGACTCAAACGCCACCAGTTCTCATCACCGGTCCAGGGCTGGCACTCATCATAGAGCGACGACTCTGAAGGACATCACCCCAACCAACACCGGAACTCTGGTGACCACTCACCTTGGTGCCCACGCTCCTGACACACAGAGGCCACCGGGCAGGCATGGCGACCCGGGAAGGCGCAGCCATCGGCTCGAGTGCGTCCATTCTGAGTGCAGAGCAGAGCAGTGGAGAAAAAAATTAAGTTATCTAAACCGGTCCTTTCTATCCACTTTTCGTTTACTCAGGTGTGTAGGTATTTATTAATTTTTAATTATATATATATATTTAAGTATTTTTGCTTAAGAAATGTAAGACTGATCCAGAACTCAAATTTAAAACTGATCCACAAAAATAAAATTCACTTAATGATCCACATCTATGTGGTCCTTAGCCAAAGAAATAACACCCTTTATCAATTTATTTCTAAATGGGCATCAGCATTTTCAATATTTATTAATAATATATAATATGCATCATTTCTTCCTGTATTTATATATTATCTTTCCTTAATGATTCTATCATTGATTCATTGATAATAAAAAATCTAAGTCTACAAATTCAAAATAAGAACATGACCTTTGCATATTTCTGATGTCTGTCTATAGCATCACTTCCAAGAGGGATCGGACTAATTACCTGCTGTGCTGTGTCGCAGGGTTTCAGACCCTTACCCCCATCATCGTTGACGCATCTGCCACCAGGCATCCTCACTGGCCCACCACTGGGACCTTTGTGGTTCATTCAAGTCTATATTTGTATCGACTGAACCTTTACATATTTGATAAGTACCCGATTCACACAGAAAAGAGCCCAAGAGCAAGATCCTTGGCTATGCCTACGATCTGTGTCGGCTATCACTTCCCACTTAGACTGGATCTCAATGCTTCAGTATCGATTAACCAACATGTTTAATATTGTATTTATTAATGGACAATAATTAACTTTTTGATTAATTTAATAATTTTAAAAATTTTGTTTTATTGTTGAATGCATTACAGATGTCCCCCATTTCCGCCCCCCTCCCCTCCTCAAACCCCACCTTCTCAGTTCTTCCCCTGCCTGTTGTCTGTGGCCATACCCAAGACGCGACAAGATCTCTGAACATTCCTTACTCACGTTAGTCTCTTTCTTGACACAGAGGTAATGACAACCTTGATCACAGCATCTGTTCTGAAAAGTACGAAGCAGAGAAGGTGATAAAAAGATTGAGACATTGTCTCCATTGATCCACTGTTTCCACCATTCACATGCACAGTCATTTGGGTACTTATTTAAATTAATAATATAATATATACTTATAATTCTCTTTATCAACCAAATGTCAAAATTGTAACTATTGCTTATCACGATCTAGATAGAGTCTATATCATACTTAGTAAAGATATGATATACTGGGTTCATTCAATATACATTCCAACTTATATTAATATATATTTTATTTATTATATAGTTTAATAATAAACATTCCTTCACACTCTAAATCTTGACCCACTGGTTTATTTCTTTATTCTGCTATTGATATTTTTATAATAATATTTTTAAAAATCCATGGTCACAAGTCAAAGAAAAAGATCCTTGTCTTAGCCACTGTCCATGACTCACGCCCCACCAGCTGTCCATCATTGCCCCAGGACTTTCCCTCTCTTCCCTCATTCATGTCTACATTTCTTGATCTATTAACTTTTCAACTGACAAATAATAACAAAATTAATTGACATGATCACAATAACCCAAGAACAAGGCTCCTAAGCCTCCATAACAACTGTCTACAGAATAATTTCCCCGCAACTCTGCCTCTAATTACTCCAGGTCAGTGCTGCACGAATCCCTTAAGGAACACGTTCCCCATGAACCCCATGGGGGGGCCACGGTGAACTTCATTCACTGCGCTTTTCTGAAGAATAGTTAATGTTCTTAAACTAGTCACACGCCACACGCACCCAGACAAGAGCGTGGCAACTACTCACGTTGGTCCCTGCGCCCCGCACAGTTCTTGGCCACAGCAGACGTAGGAGGGCAGGTCGGTGCACTCGCTCTGGGAAGAAGCAACACAGATAATAAAGAGTTGAGACATTCTTGCCATAAAGACACACATTTTTGTTCCATTTTCTCAGTCACTTAGGTACTTTGGAGTGTGATTATTTCCTTTTCTCTAAACTAGATTAACCACTCGAACTTAGGACTGACCCAGAGCAAGAACACGGGCCACTATATATCACCAACTTTCTCATTCTTTCCCCAGAATGTAAGCCCTTGGTCCATTCATTGCCGAATGAACTCCAGTGGTTTCAAGTTAATAATAATTCTTGCCTCCCCACATATTTCTATCGTTTGATATGCCTCAATGTTTTCATCTTTCTACACTGATTTTTAATAGTCTTTCCTTTATTCACTTGTGATAATAAAATTAAAATCCATGAAGCACCAAAGGCTAAGATCTGAGCCTTAAACATGCCTAAAATCTTCCCAGAGTCTCATTCCCACAAATAAACACTTAAGTCCCATGTTGTACTTGGACCTCAGAAGTCGTCAATGCTTTGATCATAAAATACATTTCAGCATGCATTCCACTCGCATCATTGGTCCACGGCCGGCCTTTTTCATTAACTTGAATATCCTTTTATGTACGGAATGAACTAAAACACTGACCAGCACTTTCATCTCCTAGGTGCTCCTTCCTCCTCAAGAAAATAGGGTCCATGTCCATCAATTAAGGAATTCGAGGGAAAAACCTGAAATGGAAATTTAAAAAGCTATAAAAATGAGTGCCACGGTCTCGAGCTGTTTTAAAAACCATCCTAAACATACGAAATGAAATCCATCCTATACTTGGCTTCCCCGTGATTAGTACCAACCTGTCCTGGTTTCACTGCATGGGCCATGCAGCCGCTGGCTCACTGGAAACCGATTCCTAAGCTGGAGGCGGCCGGGGGATTCGGGTGCTTCAGTCATGAGTGGTGCGCCCATTCTTGGGGTATAAAGACAATGTTGAAGGAATGAGGCATTTCCTCCCCTGAACTAGCTTTTCTGCTTTCATTTACTTAGACTTTTAGATATTTATGAATTAACATATGCCACTTTATTATTTCTTATTAAAACAAGCAAGCCAGAACTCACCTGCGAACCAGAGGAAGGGCATGAGCTCTCATTACCGACATCGGACTATATCCAAACGCTGTTTCCCACCAGGCAGCACCCGCGGAACCTGGGAACATATTAGAAACTCACATTCATGGGCCCCACGCAGTCCTACCGACTCAGACATGCGGGGGCCCACAGTCTGGACTTTATCCGGCGCCCAGGGGATGCTCATGCCCCAGCCTGAGGACCACTGCCCGGGATTTCTCAAGCCAAAGAGGCAACCCCCTGGCACGGCTGCTTCCCAACGGCCTGCGGGGTTTCAGAGCCGCGGCGAGGGAACCTGTCTCGCGGCGTCCATTCTGAATGAAGCCCGCTTTCCGCTCTGTGTCCCCGCCCATCGATCGGCCACCTCTCCAGCCTCCTGATTCTCCCGTTCGTCCCCTAAGTCACGCCATAAACCCCGCAGTCCACTGAAACCCCATCCTGAGTCTTGAAAATCACTAAACTCTAGCTCAGGGCTTATCCCCAGACGCGCAATAGGCCGCGCGCTGTTTGGAAATGAACTTGAGCGACATAGAGACAAACCCGGCGGCAGACAGGCCGGGAGCGCGCCCGGGCGCACTGGGCTCGGCTGCTCTTCAGGCCGCGAGGGGACGAGCGTGCCACCGCCACCCACCCCGCTCCCAAAGCCTGGCGGCATCCTGGGACTGACTCACTCACGGAGCTTAGATCTGTCCCTCTGAGGAACGGATCGAGGCGGTGACACAGGGCGAAGGCAAAATCCTGAAACTTTAAAGGAACTGCACTGAAGCGGACACCCTCGCAAGCCCCCCACACGGCGCATCCGCATCGAAGGTCCGTATGTTAGGGAGGAGCACAGCCACTTATTAATAGCTTAGTTAACTTCCTTTCATTCATTATTTAATTGGTGAAAAACTGGGCAAACTATTAATTTCTCTTAAACAAAATAAAAACTGTTGAACTTCCCGGAACCCCAGCAGAGAAAGCGTATTAGGTGGTTCTAATTCCTCTTACTCGAACTGGTAAGAGCAAATTTTTTTCTTAAGACGGACATAAGAGGAACAGAACCGACGAGTGATGTTTCAGCACATACCCGTCGCTGGTCGGGTGCTCTGCTGCCTTGATCTTATTAAAATACTAACCATTTATTAATTAATGACAATAAAATCAGCCTGTGCACAAACGCAAGACAGCAACAGTGACCGGCAGGAGCCGTCAGTTGCTCACCCGCACGGGAGTCGGGGGACTGTCTACGTTCTTCCAACTCTCTCGAGGGAAACCGACAAATATAGTTATAAATCTGTAAGGTGCACAAGGTGGTGATTTGATTGACAAAGTGGAAGGACTAGCCACAGACCACACTGCGGCCAACGGGGTCAATAATAACTGTCATATGACACGTGCTTGTCACTGCTGTCTGCTCGGTCCTCTTGAATGTAGTTAGTTGATAAAATTATACAATTATATTACCATTTAACTTTTTAACAACCTCCTATAAAGACACAGCACTGAACATGAAATGGACAATTACGTACGTCTCTCCCTGGGTCCCTCAAGCTAAGGTTTAAGAGCCTGTCTTATTTTGAAAGGATTTCAGTTCACTGGAAATGGACTGGTGACAACGTCTGTCTCAGGGCATTGGCCCTCGCCCTTCCACATTTGGCCCTGCTTTTCCTTCATTGACTCAGACGTTTGTGTGGTTACCGTCGCGTGAACTTTTGAGAAGCAAGCAAATGTCTCGCGTGGACCCGGGAGCGGTAGGTAAGCGCAACGGCGCTGGTGGGGTCTCCGTCTCTCGGTCTTCTTTCAAGGTCACTTTGTGAAGAGATAAAACATTTGTTCACTCAGAATAAATATTTATAGAATAAATGAACTTTTTCCAAGTAGATTTAACATCCCTAGACATACAATATAAAATCATTTTCTAAAGCGCGAACAGTCTAGACCTGACTTGCTAACCAAGCCCGAGTTGAATATGTGGATGAACCTTCACTTAACCTTTTTATCATTAATCCGTGATTGGCACGGGCTAATCTCTACCATCTGTCCCCAGAATTATTTCCCCCAGCAACCCAACCCTTCACTAAACCCCCTCGATGTTTTGTGTGCGAGGGAACAATCAAAATGCTGCATATTCACGACACGCTGGGGCCACGGCTGACATGCACTGATTGTATTTCACACGTTTTAGTAATACGGTTAATGCCGTTAAGCCGCCCAAGCTAAGACGGGAACAGGGCTGTTAGTCCCCTGGCACCAAGGCTCTAAGACAGAAGTCGCCGTGGAGCCCGTGGCCAAGGGAGGGTCCTAAAACCAGCTCTAGTGAGACCTTCTGAGGAGTGTGGGCCACAGCAGGTGATTAAAAAAGTTGAGACCCTAACCGGCCGGCATGGCTCAGGGGTTCAGCATCGACCTAGGATCCAGGAGATAGGGGTGCGATTCCCGGTCAGGGCACTTCCCAGGGTTTCAGGCTAAATCCCCAGTTGGGGGCGCGCAGGAGGCAGCCAATCGATCAATGACTCTCTCATCATTGAAGTTTCTATCTCTCCCTCTCCCTCTCCATTCCTCTATCTGAAATCAATAAAGACATATTAAAAAAGAAAAGAAAAAAAAAGAAAGGCTGAGACCTAATACCAACTGATCCTTACATTTACCTTTAATTAGTCATTTAGAAAACTAGAGATGTGGGAAAGTATTTAAATTCTCCAAAGTGAACAAGTAACGGCAACCTTGCCGCTGACACGGACACAGACTATGAACATGGCCTGTCACACGAAACGCCGCCCACAACATCTTGAGCTGGGGAGCTAACACCCGTGGGCCATTTATCTCCTGGTGGTGGGAGTGTGTTCCCTACATAGGAATAGTATTTCTTGCCTCCCGACTTATTTTTACATTTGGACAACGCCTCGTGACCTTCATCTCTACTTATTTATATGTTTTTTATAAATCATTTCTCTGATCCAATTGAAAAGAGAGAGATGCATGAGCATAAATCAAAGGCAAGACCCTTGTCTAGTCCTGACGTCTGTCTAGAGGGTCCCTTCGAGCGGGGCAACGGCCCAGACCTCGAGTGTGTTGGGACCTCAGAGCCCCAGACACGCGTTCGGCGTATGTAACTCACACACCACCAGGAGTCATCGTTGATCCACGATGTCGCTGTCCCTCCTTTTACTCAGTCCATTCTACACTGTCTACGGAGTGAGTCACTAATTAATTAATATAATTTTAAGTCCTATTATTCATGAAAACACAAGAAAAGCCTCGCTATCCCTAATCTGTATAGAATCATTCCCACATAAATGGCTTTCCTCATCTTATTCTTCATATATATATATAATATTCATTATAATCAATGTTATATCAATCAGTAAAATAAATCCCACATTTGCCACTGGGCTAGAGTTGGCCTTATTTGATAATATTGCACACTTTTGAACGACACAGTGAATGCCCTTTAAAAATAAACAAACAATGGAACTAAGACAAGAACTTTGTTACTTACATGGGTCTCATGCTCCTAAAAGTTAGAGGCCACCAGGGAACTCACGGCCAGGGAAGGTGCAGACATCACCTGGAGCGCAGAGCGCAGAGCTCGGCAGGTGACACGGAAAATGGAGACCGAATCTCCACTCACTTACTTACACGTTTAGGGATTTATTGATTAATGACTGTATTTATTTGTTCTTCTCTTAATAAACTGAACATCGGAGTGGTAACTATTATTTATCATTATATATATATCGTTCTTAGCCAAAGGTGTAATACCCTTGAACCCTTCAATACTGACTTCAACGTACATTACGATTACTTTTCTTCACTGTACATTTGAACACTGAGCAATACCTCACCCTCTTCACACCTATTTAGGCATTTATTCCTTTATAAGAAGATTTTGTAAAATTGATGAACACAAAACCGAGAGCAAGAGCCGTGCGTGTCCTGACACCCGTCTGTACGATCACTTCCGACAGACGAGGGACTGGGTTTCTCTGCGTCGGGCCTCAGTGTCTGGACGCTTTCGTTAGTATTCAGCGTACACGAGTGACTCCTACGCCACCAGACGTCGCCATACAGGCTGGGACTGGGGTTCTTCATTCTCGGCTATCTGTTTACCGATCAAGTGATCAATTCACTAATAATAATAATAGTGATTCATAAATACTCAAGGACAAGGTCCTTAATCTCTAGCCTCTATCTATAGAACCCTTGGCTTCAGTGAATATGCCTCTTTCATTAACGAGCTTCATGGATGCAAATACCTATTAATGGACATAAATTCCCATGTCAGTTCCTTGTTTACGCTGGGGGTTTGACTAGCTTTCGATGGACAGATTTAAAGCGACTTCTTAAGGTTACAGTGCCGTGTCTATAAACAACCCAAACCAAGAAAGGATGTGACTGCCACTCACGTGAACCTGTCCCGAGGGACGGCCAGCCGAGCTCCTGATGCCCACCAAGGCCTGGTCAGTCGTGTGTCTGAGCTGAGGAACACAAAGCAGAGGTGACAACGCGGCTGAGGGACGGTCTACGGGTCCTCGGTCCCCAGTCACTCGGGCGCACAGCGCGCGCTCCTCCCCGACCCGCACCACGTGGACCTGGACCCAGCCCAAGCGCAGGAACCTGGGCCTCTGCTCACCGAGGGCATCGTCCTGGCCAAAGAGGGGGGACACCTGAGCCATTCCCGCTCCTTAACGAAACGCGCAGTCCTCAGCAAGTGTTACTAACTCTCATTGTGTTCCCCTTTATCGTCATTTATTTATACTTGTATTAATTCTTTTTGGAGCCATTTATTAGAATGGATTCGAAATTCACGAAAACGAACCGAGAAAACGGTCCTTTTTCCTCCCCCATATCTGCCCATAGGGTCACTTCGGACGAGACCGCGGGCTCCAGCGCCTCCCTGGGCGCCGGCGATGGGGACGCATCGTACCCACCAGGGCGACCGGCCTCCGCCGCTGCCATCGGCGGTCCCTGGGGGCCTCTCCCTCCTATTTCTCACCTACGTTAGTCCTCGGTCTGCTACTAATAACTGAACACACATCTGGGAGTCACAGAAATGCAAGGATCGCTGTCACACTTCCTTAGGACCAAGGCCTCACTGATTACCCCTCTTCTCAGTCATCAGCCCCATGGCTGCAAAGACAGACCATGGACGGTCCGTTTTCCTCTACTTCATACCTTCTAGGGTGCTACAGTGACACCCTAAACAAAGCGCCCCAACCGAGACAAGGCCGCGGCCTGTGACTCACACTCGCGCTCCCCAGAGGCGCTGGAACCCCCTCGGGCGATTTCGTTCTGAGAGGGGCAAAGGAAAGGAGCGGTAAGGGGACTGAGACGGGACCGCTCCTCCCGGGTAGGCGACCGTCTGGCATGTAGTCATGTGGGCTGTGCCTCCCCCCGCACACTGTCTCATTAGGTAATTCCTTAAGTCACTTCTGCTAATTTTAAAAAACCCATGGTCCACACAAAAATAAAGAATAGGAATCTTGCATATTCTCCATCTATCTATAGAATCGTTTATCACATTGAAATATTACCCCTAATCTATCATAAACAGATTAATAAATACACTGCATGACAGTAACCCCCTATTTATCATTGGCCATGGCTGGGCTTTTGAATTACGGTCACTCTTCTAACGGGACAGTAAATATCCTTTAATTAAAGCCTGTCCGATAAAGATGAGAACTTTATGACTCACGTAGGTCTTCATGCACCTGAGACACAGGGATGGTGACCAGAAAAGACTCCCCGATGACAAGAGCGTGTCATCCTGAGGAGGAAAAGGCAGAGCTGGGGACTGAGAAAGACAAGGGAGCCCGATCGGGACGGATCGTCCTTTCCACGTTTCACTTGTTAAGTCATTTACGTTTCCAGTAATTTTCATAAGGTAGATCGTTTTGTCTCTTAACAAAAGGAACCACCTCAAATTTGAAGCTGACCTGGAAAATAAAATGGATTCTTACTTATCAGAGTCTATATGATTCTTGGCCAAACTGGATCCATTTGGCTCTTGGATCCATTTATTTCTCTCTTTTTTATTAAATTTAAGGGGTTACTCTACTATATTTCTTTAAAAGTTCTATCACTGATCCAATAATAATACATATAAATTGATGAGTCCACGGTAAGAAAGTGATCTTTGTATATTTCTAATATCTGTCCACAAGACTACTTCTAAAAAGAGGGATCTGACTAATTATGTTTTGTTGGACCTTATAGTTCCAGACACATATTCTCCTGCATCGGTGACTCCTACGCCATCAGCTGTTGCCAATGGTTCAGGTTTGGGTCTCCTTTCCTTCATTCTTCTCTACATTTGTATACACTAAATCATTAATTCATTAAGAATAATTAAATGAACACATTATTCATAAAATCCAAGGACAAAAACCACTGAGTAACTCACATTTGTCTATAGAATTATTTCCCACATGGACTGATTCTTTCCCATTAATCAACTTCAATGTTGCCCATTATAGATTAATAACATAATGTTTCATATCACATTGATCATTGGGCCATGGTTACATTTTAATTACACTTTAATACGTTTTAATAATTCAATGATTACGTTTAAACAAATGACGCAATCCAAGAGGACAACTTAATGAACTTCATTATTTTCAATAAATGTTCATCTTTCATATCATTCTTATCTGCACACGTTCGTTAATTAATGTATTGATTCACTAGTATTAAATTTTAAAACGGTATGATTCATAAAAATAAACAAGACTAAGAGGAACAAACATCCTGCATCTCCATATAGGATTATTTGCCAGACTGACGATCGATCTCTTCTATTAGTTATCACCAGGGTTTCACAGATGGATTAATAAAGATAATGCTTCAGGCCAATCTCATATTTATCATTGACGATAGCCGGCGGGCGTCCTGGATTATATTTCACATTCTTAATGATACAATGAATATTCGAGAAAAAATTCTCAAAACATAAACTTTTTTCAATCGATTACTCACATTGGCCTCTCCTCGATACGCAAGGCGGCAACCGCAGAGCCCGTGGACGCGGAGGAAGCCCGCTCTGAGGGGTGCAGAACAGAGCGGATGAAAACATTGAGACCTTCTCTACATTGGTCCTTCGCCCCCTTATTTCATTTACTATCTCTGTTTGCTGGTTCTATCATTGATCCATTGATATTGATAGTAATATACTAGAAATCCACGAATCCAAAATTAGAAGAACCATAGGATCATTTGCAAGGTGAACCAGACTAGATGCCATTTGGGTTTGGACCTCAGACTTCCAGACACATAGCAATCATCGTGGGTGATTCATACGCCATCGGTCATCATCATCGGTCCAGCTTCGGGCCCCTCCCTCTTCGTGCCCACCTACAGTTGTTTGTATGTTAATTCATCAATCTACTAATAATTAAACTCAAAACTACAAGTTACAAAAGCTCGAGAACAAGAGCCTTAGAAAAATTCTCATTTTTCTTTAGAATCCTTGGCAAGTTAAACTTTACTAATCATCTTCATTATTTCAAAGATAGATGATTCAACATAATATTCATTTATTTCCAATGTAATCATTGAACACAGTTGGATTGTGTTATATTGAATACTTTTAAAAGTACATACAGAAGATATCCTAAATAAACCACACAAGTCAGATGAGAACACTGACTATTACTCACGTTGGCTTCCAGGCGCCTACAGAGACATCGCTGGCCAGGGCGTAACGCTGAACTCAGCGAGGGGGTGTCCACCTAACGCCTAGAAAGCAGAGGAGAGAACATGCTTGAGGTACTGTCTCTGTTGGTCCTTGCACCTACATTTCATTATTCGGTGATTAAGTTATGGATTAATTTGGGGGAATATATATTTATTTTTAAGAAAAAGAAACAACCTTAAATTTTCCACTAACCCCAATATTAGGCATTAATTATATTGTCTATAATTTGGTAGAGGTTCGCTGGACCTCAGAGTTCCAGAGCATTCATCATCAAAGACTCATACGCCACCAGTAGTCATCATTGGTCCGGCTTGGCCTTTTTTTAACCCAGATTCATTTACATTTGTTTATTATATGATCTTAATAGAATAAATAACTATGAAGTACAACAAAACCTAGAGCATGAACCTTGACTAGTCCTACATCTGTCTATAGAATTATTTACTCCATCAATATATCTCTTTCATTAATCACCCTCAAAGTTTTATATAGGGTATTAATCAATACAATGTCACGTATCAATCCATATTTATCCATGGACCACGGTTGGCATTCTTTGGTTACAGTTCACAGCTTAAGAGTATATACACCCATGAAACACATTTGTTTCTACGCACCAAACACACAGGCAGACAGACATCTTACAGCCGAACCACAGAGGGAGATGAAAAGGTGACACTTTATCTGCACTAACTTTGGCTTCTGCATTTAATTTCCTCAGCCACTTAAATATTTACCCCTTTCCAAAACTTAGAATACTTCACGCATTCCTATTTATTGGCTTACATGCGTTTATTAGTTCCTTTGCTAATCGGTCTATGCTCAGAGTCAGCATCGATGAACACAGAACATGATCTCTGTACATTACTGACATCTGCACTGTGCTCATTCCCAGCACAGGGAACGGACCGGGTCTCTCATCGCGTTGGACCTCAGAGTTCCCGACGCACAGTATTCATCATCCAGGACGCACGCCACCAGTGGTCATCACTGGTCCAGAATTGGCCCCCTACATCTCCATTGGTCTCTAACTTTCTTTATTGATTGATTCATCATTTCACTAATAATTGAATAAGTAACTGAATCACAGAAACCTAAGAGCAAGACCTTTAAGTATCCTTAACAGCCAGGTGATCATCTGTCAGCTTGATTATATCTTTTATTACTCATTCTTAATTTTGCAAATATTGATTAATCAACACAACGCTCATACGTCCTATGTTAATATGACATAATGACAATGTCATATGTATCGTTGGACCATGCTTGGCCTTCTTGGAGTCTTTTAACAATAGAGTGAATATCCTTAAAAAAACGACCCAGAACAGGACAAGGATTCTGACAATACTCACATGGGTCTCCATGCCCCGAACACACACGGGCAACCAGAGAGCTCCTGACCATGAACGATGCTTAAGTCAGCAGGGAGCGATCATTCTGCGAGTATAAAGCAGAACAAATGACAAAAAGATTAAAATATTCTCTGCATGTATCCTGAATTCCAACTATCATTTTATTAGCCATTTAAGTCTGTATTAAATTGTGATATTTTTTTCTTTAGAGACCAACAACATTGAGTAAGACACAGACCAAAACAAGAACACAGGCTGTTATTCGTAGTTTATATTTAACATTCCTTACATTTTTAATATGTATTCATAGCATTTCTGACCTCACCATACATTTGCATAACTGGACGTTTCCAGCTCTTTATTTATTCCTAGAATTGTATTAATTATTTCCATTTGTAACAAAACAAATTCCATGAAGACAAAAACTAGTAAATAAATCCTTGAATATTCCTAACATCTGTTCATAAGATTATTTCCAACAGAATCTATAGACTGCAGTTCTTATTGTGTGAAACCTCAGAGCAACAGGCAGATAGTATTCAGTCTCCATGACGCATCCGCCACCCGGCACCGCCACTGGTCCAGACTGACTCTCATTGTCTTCAATCACGTCTACTTGTTTTTACTGATTAATTCACCCACTCACTAGTAATAATAAAATAAATGCCTAGGTCATAAAAACCTGCAACGGGATCCTTGAACATCTCTAATATTTCTCTACAGAATTCCTTCCCACTGGCGATATAGATACATCTATATCAAACCTATATCGTCAGTGGGAAGTTATTCTGTAGAGAGCATATAGCTCTTTCATTAGTTGACCGCAATGCTTGCTATAAAAATTAATCTAATACACTAACCCCATTTTGCTATTTAAATGTGACTAAACTGTGTCTTTGTCAAGGGAGGTTTAAATCAACTTTGACTCAGAATTAAAATTGAATAACACATTTCACTTTACTTAATTCAATAATTATCTATTAAAATGAATAAATGGTCTGGCTTTTGCCTCCTTCATTAACCACAGATGTGCTCGACTGGCCCACAAACAGCCTTCACTCATTTTATTTGTATATGTAGAGATTTACTCCCTAAGAGTTAAATGCCCGTGACAAACCACCAAGTCAGAAGCAATTCCTTCGACTGTTACTTACTTAAGTTTCTACAGTCCTTTAACTGAATCATTGTGTGTCCGTTCTGTAGAGTGCAAAGCAAACATAGAAATAGGTAGTATTAGATGATTGATAGATAGATGATACATAGATACATGATTCATAGATCAGCCTAGATTTGGATCTTTTAAATTGATCCAAGTCAATAATATTTGATTAAGAATAAACTTTAGAGCTTGTTACATATTAAAATTCTGAATGGCTTATTGATTGATTCAAGTATTAAATTTAATTGATATAATGAACACCTTTGAAACCAACACCAGACCAAAAATGAGAAGTCTAGCTATTAAACGTATTAGTTTATATGCCCTCGCCAGGTAAGAGCTATTTTTTTTTTCTAAATGAATCTTGCCTGGAATGAATTAGGTTCATTTAAATTGCAGATTCTTAGCAATTGTTTATGGTTGTCCCATGATTGTGTGTGTATGTATGTATGCATGTATGTATGTATATAGTCATACATGGAGTCATTTGCCTTCCATCTTTTAAAGAAATCACCCCAATGAGTCAGAAAGAGCAATTGGATCTGAATAAATATATTCTCAATCGCAAAAGTGTAAGAACCAGGTCTGTTTTCTTTACCTGGAGAGAAATTGTATAGAAATGTATTAATGACTCTCCCAGGTTTCCTAACATAAACTCCTCATTGGTCCTTTCAAAAAATTGATTAAAATTTTAACGTAATCTTTTATACATTAATAATATCATTAACATTTGTGACTCCACACAACAAGAAAACATTAATGTTTGTCCATATGTTCATTAGGCACCAAGGAAAAAATGAGGTAACCTTTTCTGATCTCTTTAAATTAAAAAATAGCAAAGATCATTGAATTCATCATAACTGGTCATGTGACACATTCAGGATTGGTCTGTGTGTAAATCTGCTCTCAATTATGCAGTGATTTAACCAATAATTAATTTAACTTGATGTTTGCCTTTCCCTATAAAACAAGAAATCAACCACCCAACCCAGAAAAACAACATGGGCCCTTACATCCATTTATCTAAATGCTCTTTACCCAAAGGGGTCAGCTTTAATCACTTTATTCATTTTACTGGAACTCGTGGCTTCGGAAATTTATTAACAATGATTTTTATATTATATATATTACATTACTGACGCTCATATTTGAGCCGGGAATAACCCATTTTCCCTATACTCATATGTTTCTAAATTTATTCATCCATTGATTTAGTGAAAACACAAAGCTCAGAGACAACAAACACCTGCAAATCCAAAACCCCCAGCATAAGCGCCTGGGCCACTCAGATCTCAGAGAGGACTGTCGTGGGAAAGGACCTCAGAGTCACAGGGTTTAATCAAAATCCTCGACTTCAGACACCCCAGGGCACTCATCATTGATCCAGCGAAGCAACCTTTATCTCCATTTATGCCTTTGCTTATTGACCCGTTCACCGATCCCCTAACAGTCCTGAAATCAATATTCATCACTTTTATAAGAGCCAACACTGAGATCCTTGACTGGGACCAGCGTCTGTCTATCGGCCCGTCCCCATAAACTCGAGCTTTTCTCAATAGGCCAGGTCTCCCTTCGGCCGCCAGTGGGGTGCAGGGAGCAGCCAACGCGCTCTCTTCTCCCCGAACCCTTCCCACCACGGCCTCCACCTGCCCCGCCTCGGCGCGGGCCGCCCGGGGGCTCGGGGGCCAGTGAATGTGCTGTCACTGGGCCCTCCAGGCGGCCCCCACAGCCACGGTAGCTACGGACTTCAAACGCCGCTGCTGCAACTGAGGGACGGCATTGAACATCCATTAGAATTTCATGATCTCCAGTGCAGACGCCACGCGCGGCTGAGGGCGACCGCGTGGGGAGGCGCAGCCCTCGAGCACGAACGACCGACCGCAGCGGCCAGGAGCGGTGTTTGCTGACCCGCATCACCCTTCCCCACGGACAGGCGCAGCCAAGCTCGTCTCGCCGGGCAGGACTGAATGCCGCGTGCAGGTTCCGTCACGAGGAGGCAGGTTGTCAAAAGAACGAAATGCGTGAATTTAGACTTTTCAATACTAGCCAGCTGTCCACCACTAGATTAATCATAAACATTGGTTTGTGTAACAGTTTCCTCATCAATCCTACAACCACACCCCTTTCATCGATGGATTTAACTTTTTTTAGTGTGAAATAAAGACCTTTGATCAACCACCCAACGTAAGAACTACAGCTAGGTTTAGTATCTGTCTATATCGCCCTACCGAACAGCGGAAAGGACATCTCTTTTTAACGGGGACAGGTTTTACAACATGAGATCATTTCACGAAACAATCTGACCAGTCACGCTATGCTCTCTTTCACGTATGTGTTGGTTCATTTATTCAGTGTTTTAATAACCGAAAGGATAATTTAACTATCTGCGCGGTTTTCTAAAGAAAACGCAGAATGCTTTTGCCAGCCAGTGTCCCCTCCACCTCTGCGTCTGAGCGCGGGGGCCCTGAGGAGCTTTCCGCGGGGATGCGACGCTCCCGAGCGGGCCCAGCGCGCAGCCACGGCCACGGAGGCCCAGAATGTGGCTGTTGTCGAAATTGAATTTTTTAGTGACTTTGAATTGAAATGTTACTAGATGCATTGAGAGAGTGGGGCTTGGGTTTTTTTAACTTAAGCGACTCCATGAGGTTGGCTCAGGAGGAATCGCGCCCCTGCCTACACCACATGTCTTCTCAGTGCCCCGCTTTATAAATAAGGGGCGGAGATATGAAATTGTTCTTTCAGCCGCTTATATTAATAACACCAATATTATGGTAGCACCAAAAGAGAGTGGACAAGAGCAATGAGTGAAGCTAAATATATCCACTGGCTTATTATGAACAAAATGCATTTACATTTTTCTTTTTAAATAAAAATCAACAAACACAAGATTAGTAATCCCAATAATAATGTTTTTCAGTGTTCATAATCAGACCTTTTCCACGTTTCAGTAACTATCTAATCATTTGCATTTTATTGTTATTGATTATATGAGATGATTATATATTAAAATAATTTTATACTAATTCATTTATCAAAATTTGTTATTGATATTGAATTTGTTATATTAAGGATTAATTATTATGCAATTATGTAAGTTTTGTCCCATTTTAAAATAAGATATAGAATCACAAACTCGTCTCCAACCCAGAAAACAACACTGATGTTCTCGTTTGTCTGTCTGCACCCAAAGTGGGAGCAGCCGCAAGTCTGCTTAATTTGAACTCAAAATTTCAGAAATGTTTTAACAATGACCCTTGGCTCACTGCTCCTTTCATAATTAAACAAGGTGTCATCCTCCTGTTTATTTATACTTTATTCATGTGTTGATTTACTTTAAATAATCTAATCCATATTCATGGACAAGCGATCAGGAACACACGCTTGAACTTCACTACCGTCCTCTGGAAGCACATTTCCCAGGATGCGGTGGACCTCAGAGTGACAGGCTGGGTATAATCGAAATATTTAATTCAGATGCCCCACGCACACTCATCATCGATCCAGGCTCGGTATTCTGTGCCTTCAGTTAATACATAGCTCTTGACCTGTTCAGCGGGTTATTAATAACAAAACAATCGGTGTCCGTGAATTAGGAAATTAAGACCCAGCTCCTTCGGGAGCACGCCTCTGAACCTGCGCCTCCCACGGCGCTCGGGGGCACCCGGCTCGGGCCACGCACCCAGCGCCCACTTCCCTGCACCGTATCAATGCCATGCTTGGGCCTCTTTCGTTCAACTGCCATATTTTCAATACGGTGCAGTGAAGTAGCATTTCATAGAAAACTAAGAAGAATGTTCCATTTTCTTATGTTTTCCCCTCAAGAGGTTCAGGGTCTATAACAACATCAGCGGAGCAGCATTTTACTCCACTGAGGCACAAACATCAAGTGGAACATTAAGATGTTCTGAGAAGGCCTGGAGTGCCCTTCACATCTGTGTCCTAATGGATTCATCCTAATTCTGAATCCATAACACACCCTCACCATCGACCAAGGCCCGGCCGGCCCTGCACCGTTCGAGTAAGTGGCCATTTAGTCTGCAGAGCATCGCAGAGCATGGCCACGCCCCGGGTAGGAGCATGGGCTTGATTGCTACTTACATTGATCTCTCTTTACCCAAAGAGGGAAAAAGCAAGATCGTCAGCACGGGTAATAATTAAATCTGGTAGAGTGTGTGCATTCTGAGGAGTAAAAGACAAATTTTAAAAAGAATCAGTCCACGTTGAGCTATTTGAAAGGATCGATCATCAAAAGCCTCCTAACCTATACTCAACATCTGGAAAGAGAGAGCACTACCTCATATTTATGAACACGTGTAATTTTGTATTTTAAGTAACATAATGAACACCAGTGAATCTAGCTACAAACAGAAAATAACAGCAATTATTAGGACTATCTGTCTGGACTTGCTGCCCACATAGGTAAGAGCCAAAATCATCTTTTGTGTTGACCCTTCAGCAGAATCGAACACATGGGGGATTCCATTCATCGCACTATCTCACCAAAGGCCCAAGGTTAACCCTACTTAATATATTTATTCAGCCACTTGCTTGATTTCACTACTCTGGGGTAGGAAGACCATCTCTTCGTTTTTCTAAAAGAATTCTAGAAAGTATAAGCGACCGTCAAAACAGAACCAAAACACTATTATTTGCCATTGTCTACATGCACCATTGGAAAGGCCTAGGAACTCTGTCTTCCTATAAGGATCAGTGTGTAGAACAGGGTGAATCACTATGTTTACACCCAACTGCATGCTTCCCATGGATGTATTGTTGGCTGATTGAAATATAAACATATGCATTTGTTCATCTATAATTATACTTCAATGTATGAGAGCCCACCCACACTGCATAAGTACCTTGAATAATATTTACATATGTCCTTATGTCATTAGCCAAAAGAACGGCACACTGGTTCCTTTCACGTAGGTTTGCTTACACAAAATTGCATTAAAAGATAGCATTCATCATTACTGTGTTTGTATAAAACCGCCTCACCATTGCTCCATGCTCCCTCCATCAATTACAGAGTTTATTCAATCAACTATTTATGTAAATGTATTTCCCTTTCCTTAATAAAATGACCGACTGGCAATCTGCCTCAATACAGAACCAAAACATTGACTCTTAGCAGATGACCATATGCTCCTTACTCAGGTGGTAAGAGCCTTGGCTATTAATTTATTGGGAATGAGAATCTCAAAATTGTCTTAATAATTTCCCATGTTTCATTAAATGCCTTAAAAGTAGTGTACACGTGTGTCGTTTACTTTTCATTCGTTGATATATCTCTTTATTTGCGGATTAATTTTATTATAATGATGCAGTTCACACCTCAAGCCACAAAGCCCAAGAAAAAGGTTCTGTGGGCTCGTTAGGGGCGAAGGGGGGTCTTGCTGCGGGGCCTCGGCGGTTCAGAGGGTTAATCGAAACACCTGCCTCAGGGGCCCCGTGACAGTCATCGCTGCTCCAGGCAGGGAACTTTTAAAAACTCACTACTTTTCTGAATCACAAATAATGGTACAATTAGGAAATTCTACAAACCAGACCCTTGGCTTTTAGGCTCTGTCGCACGGAGCTAATAAAGTCCGTGTCTGGGTCATGGCGCGGGGGGCCAGCATCGCCGCGTGCCACTCGGCATCTTCCTGTGTGGCCCTGTCCCTGAACCTGCCCACGTGGCAAAGACGGTTCAATGCAAGTCACGTGCCCCCGAAGAGTGACCCGCCCGCTCCACGCATGTGAGAACGCGGGAGACAACCCCGGTTACATTAAACTGCTCTTCGAGGGGATCCAGTAACTTCCGCCGTCTTGACAATGACCTCAGCTGCACTGATTTCGATTAAACATCACTTTTGGTTTATAACCCATTCCCTTCACTGGCCTGCGCTCGGAGTGTTGTATTTATTTCATGTAGGCAGCTTAGAATGATTACTTTAAATTTCTGAAGTTAACGCCCATGAGCAAACATTCCAAACGCAATGTAAACCAAGGGACTCATATATATTCGTCTTTACGCTCCCTGCTCACGACGACAATCTGGCTGTCCTCCAGCCACCCTGGAGAGGAAACAGCAGAATTAGACTCGATTTCGATTTTTTTAAGGGTTTAACAACACACTTTGGGTAACAAACATACTTTGGCTCAAAAATGCAATTTTTAAAAATTAATCTGTTATTAAATTCTTAACTTTAAATAATATAATAAACACTATCATGTCCGCCGCATACACAAATATGAAGATCTATAATGAATCCGAATCTCCGCCCATATGAACATCCATCAATTGGGTGGCTACTTAATGGGCTACTGACTGACGCAAGCCCCTCCCCTTCCCTAATATGAGACGAAAATACAGCAAAGAGCAGAAAGGCCGAGCGCTGCCTGTCGGCCACAGGCGCCGACTGCTCGCGCGAGGGGCCCCACGCCGACCCCAACCCGAGCGCTGTGGGGCTCTCCCCGCCTCGGCCGCTCACAGACATGTCTGCGCCGCCTCACGCATCGACTCTCCCGAAACAACAAATCCATGGCCATGAATCACAAAAGCCCGGAACAAGTTTATTGAATTTCCCTAACTTCTCCCATTAGGTCATTCCTGCAGGGACTATTGACTGGCTCTGCTTCCCTAATGGCCCCGAGTCACACGGGCCTCAATCAAAGGGGTGTGTTGCCCCCGATCCTGCACCAATGCCCATCATTGATCCCGCACGGCTCTCGGTGGCCTCGCGCATTTATGCCTTTTGGAACACATGCATCCATTCACAGATGCATGAATAATAATTATATAATCAATGAACTCTAATGACACAGAACCGCGAACGAAAACCTTAAACGCAACCAAGATCTGTTCCTTGGCCTTGTCACAGAGCAAACAGACCGAGCAGTGCCCAGCGCGAGCCTGCCTTGCACGCGGGGTCAGTCGGCCCCGTCATCAGCGCAGCCCCTTACTGAGGCCTGTGCCCACCTGCCTCCCGCGCTGGACCGGGCCGTTCATTAAAGGTGGTGTGAGCAGGAGCCACAGACCTGGCATCTCAGCCCACACAGGACAAACCCGACATCTGTCATCTTCAAGGATACTCTAGCCTGGGAGACTTAACAACTGAGATGGTGATCAATGAAGGAGCACATTAGGCAAATGTGGCAAGAATTGCAGTGAGAAGCTAAGCTGCTCTGAAAATATGCGCGAAGCTAAGCTGCTCTGAAAATATGCGCGATGCCCTCTCCATGACTCTCCTGACGGTCCTCAGTGGGGCTGAGTCGAATGAATCATGTTTCAGTTCACGTGACATTGGAATCATGGGCTCATGACTGACATCCCTTAATTCCATGTTATTATTTAGCTATCCACTTTACTGAAATAATTTTGTGGGCGCCCATGAATAACCCCCATCTATGCTTAGAATTGATGTTTACTTACTCCAGTCTTTACGCTCCTTAGTCCCAGAAGTGACAGCCAGGGTGCTCACCAGGAGAGAACGTTCATTCCATAAAGGAAAAAATTAGCCTATATTTAAAAATGAAGACAGAGTTAGCCTTTTTCAATTAAAATTTGTCAGAAAGGCTAGATTAATCATAAAGCCTACCTCACATGACAAAGTCATCATTTTCCCAGCAATAGCAATCTTTTATTTACTTACTTAAATTATACTAATAAATAATATGAACACCATTGTTCAATACAAAATAAAAACTGTAACAATTAAAGACCTCTGACTTTACTTGCTACCTACATAGGGAGAGCCAAGATATCTTTCTATCTATATAGAATGAGACATGTTGGATTTGATCATGGTAAAATTTCATCAATCCTAACTATGTGTATTTATTGGTTCATTCACTGGTTTATTTTATGATTCAGGAAATAATACCATGTTCTCATTTTTCTAAAGACCCAAAGTGGTTCAACACCATTTTACTGTAACTTGTAAAGTTCTAGGTCCACCTTTCAAGAAATCGCAGAGCCTAGAACTTTTCCTAGAATGTGTGTTGTTGGAAACCAGGATGAATCCATCGTTATCCTCACGTCAACACATGTTCATAATTGGTCTGTGGTTTGCTGACTGTTTAAAAGTAGATTAAGATATAAAATTATACCTCCTTTCTCTTATACGAAGACATTGGTATCTGTGATCTTATTTACTAGATAAAAACATGGAACACTGTTGTCAAGAATAATGGACTTCCTTCTGTTTTCATGTCTTAATAATCAGTAAAAAGGTTAATTGTGAGTTTTGTCATATAAAACATTCTTGTCATTGGTCTCTGCACTTGGCTTTCAATTACGTGGCTATTGAACCAATTATTTATATGAGTAAATGTGTTTCCATTTCTTTAAATAAAACAATCAGTCAGCAACCCACCACCAATACAGAACAAAAACTCTGACTGTTCATGTACAAATAATGATGAATATTCTCCTTTTGGAGGAAAAGGAGCCTTTGCCATTCAATCTTTGGAAGTCGAGTCTCTGCCAACTATTAATAATAATCCACGTTTCATTAAACTTCTTAATAGGTGACTGTCCTGTCTTATTCTATTCATTCATTAATACATTTTATTTAGTTTGGGGTCAATTTTATATGAAAAATGACAATCCATCCCCAGGAATCACAAAAGCCCAAGCACAAGGTAGCACGGAGTCATTCCGGTGGACCTCAGAGTTGCTTACGGGTTTAATCAAAACTCCTTCAGATACCCCATGGCAATCATCATCGGTCCGGCACGCCGGTTCCTTCAGGCTCTCGGTCAGTTAGATTCACTGGCCCGTGAACAATACGTTCGTGAAATGCCGCGGTTAGTGGTTCCTCTGCCATAAAGCAGATGGACGAGCCTCTGCTTACAGTGGACCTCAGAGAACACGTGTCATCAATTTACATAATTTACATCCAAGCTTCACACAAAGCC